ACTTTCGCTCTCCACGCTCTATCCTCGACAATTTAAGCACGTAAATTTTTTTCTCCTTCGATTGTTGCAAGTGATTTTCGCGCTCGTTTTGCGAGGTCTGCAAACCACAGAACCAAAAATGGCTTTCTGAACATCCGTTGAGGCAAGAGAGGATAAAGCTCTCTTGCCGGTTGAGGGTGTTGTAGTGCTTGCATTTTATTTATTTATTTATTATTTATTTTTCTTATCTTTCAAATTGTTTTAACAGCATTACTTGACGCATATGTTAGGAGATCGCAACATTCAGGCTACGGAGACATCGCTTGCGGGGTCGGCTAAATTGAAAAACGAGAAGGTCTGGTAAGGAGAGTCTAGCGACAGCGAGCCTTCTGTCCCACCCGTGCAAACCTGGCAAATCCAAAGAACAACGACCCCGTATCTAATACCGGTACTACTATCTACGCTTCACTGCACTGTGTCGACTATGCAATCATTTGTTGGATTTGGCGCCGTGTGAAGCTTATCAATGCTATATTAAGTGCACGGAAGAAGGGCCCGACGCAACGCTGTGGCTGAAAAGAGCCAAAAGTGAAGTTCCCATAGACCTGTACACTGTTTATTGGCCTGTTGTGAGGTATGTATGAACCTCTAATTTTAACAGTTTAGAAAACTACGACCAATTCGTGTCATTGCGTGTGGGTTTCTGAGCAAGACCTCCACAGTGGCTGATATCTCAATAGAGTCAATCAAAGTAAATTAAAACTTTTCCGAGTGAGCTAGTTGCAGTTTAGAGGATTCTTATTCAAATTCACGATGTTGTATTTTTCGGACTTACTTGTCTTCTGGAATGGGCCGGGCAGGTTCCTGTTGTTTCACAACTGCAAAACCACTGCTTTCGTGAATCTGTCGTGGTCTGTTTTAGTATCACATTTTCCAGCCAGCGAACTTTTGCAAAGCAAAGTTATTACATAATTCTGTTAGCCGTTTATGATATTGGGGTTTTATTTCATCAGCTAACCTCTCGGAAAATCAGTCAAAGGCCCTGGCAGCTTATTGTAAGATTCTTTCTTGTCTGCAAATTGTTAATTATTCAACGTTTCTTGGGAGCTATCAAACCCAGTTGAACTCAAGAAGGTCATTTCGTGATTGATTCGGACGGGAAACAAATGAGACATTAAAACAGACAATATATCAGTGCGTTAATTACTTGAAAAATCAGTGTTATAGTACACAACAGTGAAAAATATATTGATATTTTGTCTGCTTCAGCGCATAAAACTTTTGATATAGCGAATCTGGTGACCCTTCTTCAGTACTATCGAATTTTGACTTGTACACGCATTTCTCTTCAGGCTGACGCCATGTAAAATATGAGCTAATATAACCCGTAGGTCTTATACGGAATATTTGAGAGTGATCCACGAATTCTATCTAACAGATGATATAAGACAAGACCTGAAATACGTCAGCAGAACTGAGTGCTTAAGACAGCTTAACTGTTCGGATCATATGTAACAATACTGTAATAGGGGAGGAGGGGGGGAGGTGCGCAAATGTCTTAGTCATTCTATCTTGTCTCAATTCATAACCAAAAGAAAAGAAACACGGCTGACTTGGCCTTAAAAGTTCTGAATCTCACAGCTAAGGAACTGAAATTCCAATTTTAGGAAGTTTTTCAGTCTGTTGCAGCACTCAGAACTAGGCCGTTGCTGAAACTTCGTAGCTGACCATATTTAGCAGTTTCTCAGACTGACTGTGTTGACACAAAAAAAACTTTATAAACGATAACTTTGTGTAGGAGGCAGATAATAAATGCTATCTTCAGTAGACGTTTCGCAATAATACAAACTGTATCCTGCACTGTTTCAATATTTACTGGTATTATTTGCTCGAGAAAAGGTGGTTAGATCTGCGCTTTCGACGGTCAAAGATGCAAAATTTACGCAATAACAAATGCAGCTTCGAAGATCCACCTTTCGCATTTAAATCTCTGATTGAGGCCAAAAGGTGCAGCAAACTAAAACATTCAAGTCAGATGATTCAGCTGTGCTTTTAGCTGCCCGCGTTCCACGTGAACCAGTGATCACGCGGGTACCATGAAACTAAAATCGAAACCAAAGCAAGTCGGGTCTCCAACCGGCAAAATTAGTTCACACGCGGATCAGCATCATTTTAATACTTATACCGACTTCCTTTCTGCAAAAACTAGAGTTCTTAAATAAAGGTAAAATTTCAATTTTAGTGGTTGCCACTTTCAACGTTGGATGTTGCAATTTTTTTTTCCAGAACTATATTTATCAATTGCGCTAATCAATTATTTAAAGCAGCTTAAAGCAGTCTTAGCAAACTAGCCGGATCGGATCAGCCCGCCTTTTTGATTTGCAAGTTTTTAGCTGTTTCTCAACCTACCAAGATTTTAGGAGTCCGAGCGCTCTGAAAATTTGTTTAAAAACTTTCTTCCACAAACTGTGCATTTTTCAAACCAAGATGCAGGAAAAATTGTATGAATTGTGTTTCTGGGAACACGATCATGTCACGAAGAAAGTAAAAGACAAAGTGCAGCCAGGCTAAAACTTGTTGCAGGATTAAATTTCGCTAAAGAAATTTCAATCTTCCAATTTAATATAATGATAGATCATTTTATCAGGTTTTTAAATAAAACCACTTGAAAAGAACCGGTCCTTCATAGACGAGGAGGGCGCCCGGGGATTCGAGGATTTGTCTACTTGGAAGAGAAATCGACGAAAATCCAATTTGTTTGGCGGAAAAGGTCCGATTTACGGTCAAACGATATGTATAGAATATGGGTTTATTTGAGCTACTAAGAGATATTAAAATAAAATAAGGCTTTTAGCTGTCCACCTCCCGGTAAAAGAACATGCAGGACCTGCTTTGCTTTACTGGTGCTCAGTTACAAAAGATTTACGGGATTAAACTTTACCCGGTAGTGTGTATGTAAAATTCATGACGCCGGGATCTCTTCAGGGCACCTTTCCACATTCGAGCGGCATTTTTCTTTCTTTTTCCAAATCGGAGTGGATTTCGAAACGTATAAAATATAGGAAAAAACTCAGCGTTATCTGCCCATCCTGCAGCTGAAAGCCAGGTGTGCGCTTATTGTTTTCCCACCGTTCGCGAAGATTTTGAATGGTAAGCAGTGCAATTTTTTTAACCAATTTTTATTTTGTGTTCGGCTTGGATCTGAGGTTCAGACAGTTACTTAGGTTTTGCTTTGCAACTGTTTCAACGACGGCCAAACAAAGTTATTTATTTTGCGATGTCGACTTCCTCTTTTTGATGTGCAAGCTGGCATTTTCACGAAAAGCTTTTGGTTTCCGTAAAGAAACCGCAACCAGGCCTCGAGAGATCGACAGTGTTTATTTAACTCAGTGAAGGCAGAATGTCACATTTTTTTGCCATGAAAAGGAAGTATTTTTAAAAATATCTGTTACAAATCCTCTGGCCGGGGGAGTTTTACTCTGATCGCACCTAAAAATACGAAAATAAGTTTAACCAAAAGAGGCTGGCTGGCTGCCCTGAATTGCAGCACGTGGTTGAATTTCAAGCACAAATTTGCATTCCCGAAGCGAAGAGCTAAAACAATGGGCGCGTGGATCAATCAGCAAATCGACTAATTGATCTGTGAAAAAGTTGCTGCTTTAAAGTCTCGGGAGATTTTATTTATATCCGTTCTTTTGTCTGCAGCCCCAGCAGCAAAATAGTGCAACAGGTGTCCCGCGCGAAAACCACAAGTAACGATCGCATTCCACGATATCTAAAAGACTAAACGATCGAGGAACACTTCTAGACAATTTTTTTTTTCTTCTTGTTTACCTTGGATGGCAAAAAAGTAAACATTTCGATAAAAACTTTTATGGGAGTCCATTAACGTGAATTTATATTGGACAGATTGCTCCGTGCTGAGGATGGAATTAAAGTGCTCCGTGCTCCGATCGAAGAAAATTCTTTGTTCTTGAACATTAGCATTACAGCAAAAATGAAAATGACGACATTAGAAAGCTGGGAATCTTACAAGTTCCGCACATTGTTCAGTTCAACGAAGAAAAGCCCCTCGCAGCCCCCCCATTTCGTTTTCCTTTATATTAGAGCTGACATGCAGTTTCAGCACTTTTGAACGAGGTATTTTCGATCACGCTATGGTAATTAATAATATTTGCACCCATAAAGTTGGCTTCGTTTCAAAATTCATGCGTTGTGCATGGCCATAGACCCGATTGAGCCCTGTCTTGCAATTTTAGCTCATTTTTATCAGGTACCAGTTTAAAACACTCGGATCACACAGCTGGTAACTATTGTTTGTATTATCATCGCATTTGTCCATATTCGATCTGCTTAGGAGGTCGACCTAACTTCATCGAGGCACGTTCTAGAATTCGTAATCGAAAATAAAGAGTGATGTAACTGCAGCCGAAGCGGAAGATTAGTCAAGCCTAGATCCACATCCTTTTATAGTTTGTCCTTAAGTGGTTAATATTTTGATATGGTATTTCATGTTGCTATGCACTATATAATAGCGAATCGCACAGTATCCAAGTGAATTTGCTAGTTAAAAGGCTCAGTTATGCTCTAACACATCTCCGATACCTGTTTTATGCGTAAAATAAACTCAAGGAGTTCTCGATTTCTGGAGAAAGTCCATGAAAAGGTCGATTTCCAGGTGCATGTCTGCACGATTCCTTCAGTGATGCTGAAAGGTCAAATCTCTTGGTGTGTGTCAAATTACGTATTTGCTTTTCGAATTCTCTGGGAAAGGTAATGACGTACAACTTCCGTTGCTAACGAAAGCGCCCAACATTTCCTTTTGCTCAGAAAGCGAAAGCTCAGTGTTTTAAATGCAGAATAGATATTCACTTTTCACGAACAACATCTCTATTGCCAATTGTTTTAGCTAGAAGTCAGGTGCATTTCTGCAAAATTATGTTCGTNAAACTCAAGGAGTTCTCGATTTCTGGAGAAAGTCCATGAAAAGGTCGATTTCCAGGTGCATGTCTGCACGATTCCTTCAGTGATGCTGAAAGGTCAAATCTCTTGGTGTGTGTCAAATTACGTATTTGCTTTTCGAATTCTCTGGGAAAGGTAATGACGTACAACTTCCGTTGCTAACGAAAGCGCCCAACATTTCCTTTTGCTCAGAAAGCGAAAGCTCAGTGTTTTAAATGCAGAATAGATATTCACTTTTCACGAACAACATCTCCATTGCCAATTGTTTTAGCTAGAAGTCAGGTGCATTTCTGCAAAATTATGTTCGTCACTTGCTTTTATCACATGCAACACACGCAATGTTTATGTCATTCACCTTGTAACGGAGTTCAGGCAGATTTGGCGCGGAATCACATTGTTTATATTTCACTGAAATCTGACTCATGGTTTGCTGCCCACCCATTCCCAAGGGATCTTTAAGGCAACCCTGATTGGTCCGTGGGCGGGAAGTAATTGTATTGAATGTATGACGTAGTTGAATGGACAGTTGTGAAAGGCCCCCGGTCGACGGATAGCAAAAGCTGGAAACTGCAATACACGACTGTTGAAGGGAAAAAAGTACGTATCTCATCCATCTTTTTATCGGCAAGACTGTGATCGACGGCTATAGGGATCAATCGAAGGTGTTTCTCTTCTCATCGAATGTAGAATATAGCGGAGTTCGTGAATTTCCGGTGAGTAATTGTCGTTTTCAGTTCGAACGCGTGGAGAAGTTGGTTTTCAGTTTGTGTCGTCATTTGGTCTCGCTACGTGTAACGTATGCCTTGTTTACTTTGGAACCTCTGCTGTTGATTGCCTGAACAATTTCTTTTCCTAGAAAGGTTTTCGTTTGACTTATTGGAGAAACGTGTTCTCGATTGGCTCTAGTGCACGCATTTTGTTTGTTAGAAAGCTGCAAGTTTAGGTTTTATTGATCATTCAGGAAGAGCTAACTGCATTTGCATTAACGCACGCCACATTTTTAGCCGTCGGTGTTAAAAAGGTTTTTTCTCTAAGCAACAGCTCACTCTGTCTCGAAACATCGCATTAGTAAGTAACAGATTTTGGAGAGTGGGGTTTTACTCTGTGTTACGACCCTGAAACGAAGAGCTGTTTCCTTATTTCGCTTTTGCATGGCTGAAATTTTAATTTCCGTTCTAGTAAAGTGAGAACCTGGTGCGTTGCGTAGGCATACCAAATGGTTCTTTTTCCTGTTGCAGTAGTTATGCCTGGTTTCTTCTTTTAAGGTCTGTTACGTTTTATTTCTACCTGGAGAATGAAAGACTTTTATCGAAAGCTGTTCAGGCATGAAGCAAGATTTATCCAGCGATGACCACTACAACGTTTAACCTCGAATTGTCTCGTGATACACACACTGCCTGTCCGGCGTTCCCGGATTTATCGCAACTTTATTCCTTCTTGTTTTCTGTGAGGTGCTTTTCAGTTCAGATGTAATCCCATCATACTAGTTTTTAAGGATGTTGTTGTCCGTCACGAGGACTCAAAATCGTGTTGCGAACGTGTCGTATCGTGCAGGGGGTCAAACAGCAGTCAGTACACAATTCTTTGAATGTAATTTGTTGGGGCTGTCTGCAGGCATCAAGTTTAGTGTGGTTAGCGATTCTCCAATCGTGCAGATCACTTTTTTGGTTGACTAAACGAAAGGTTGTTTGACCATTTTTCTGAGGAAATTCTTGTTTCAACATGGTCAGGGTTTCAGTTTTAATTTCTGATGATCGTGTTTCAGCTTGTGTTTTATTGATCTTCCAATTTGCTTTCTTTCAGCTTGGCGTTACGAAGAGTGAATTACCACCTCTACGTCGGCAAGAGCGCCTTTGCCTTGGGGCTCGTGAACAGCATCGAGAAAAGTAGATCTGGTGCAGTTTTTGCCTTTTCGTTATGTCTTTTGAGACATTTCCTTGTGGTAGCCCTTGTGTGAGCCCCGAGGAGCCTGCACCCTCTCTTTACGTCGAAAACCCCGACGAGGATCCAAGCAGATTGCTAATCAAAAAGCCAATGGAAAGTGAACCCTCGCGACTTGCCGAGACAGCAAATATAGAGGACAAAATTATGAACGAGGATGAAATAGCTCAAGTTAACGCGAGTGGAGGCGATGGGCTTAAAAATAACACGCTAAGCGAGGATGGTCGTACAAGGAAGAACGGTGACGATTCAGCACGTCGTGTTGAAGGTCGTCATGTTTACGATAAGGTCGACATTTCTAGACCTCACTGGATTCACCTAAATTACGGAAATCCGGCGACAAGCCCAGCCCATTCCTCGCTTCTGAAAGAACAACAACTAAAAGAAAGTTTGCCGTCTGGCCAAAATTTTGAATCTGGGGATCGCGCCAGTGTTATTATCAAGCGATCAAAGGAACAAGAGGAAATTGAGTCAGACTCTGACAACGAATCACAAGATACGGGCAAAGTAAACACGAATGATTCACTTCGCTGCAATGAGAATATTTCTGGTATTGAGGCAAGCGAGGAAAATGTAGCGAGCTTGCACGGTCACTCGCGTGCGATCTATTATAATTATGATGTGAGCCACGAGGAACTTCGCAAATTGCAAGACAAAGGAAATGCTAAACTTGTGCGAGGGATACACGGTGAAGCAAAAGCTGTGCCAATTTATTACATGCCTGCTGGATACTCACATATGGTCGCTATGCCAGGCGGTGCATCCGCCGGGAATGCAAACAACATGTTGCAGAGAGATCATTTTGCACAAGCAAACTCGAACGAGGTGAAACGCCTACACCTGCAGCAGCACTTGGATTACGTGGCAGGAAGACCCGAGCAGCAAGTCCCAGTTGCAAGTAATGTGAACACAAGCGAGCGATATGGGAATTTGCAGCATGGTTCAGCTGCTCCCGGCATTCAGTATGTTGACAGACGCCTAATGCATGGGGGTTATGCCATGGTCCCCGGAATTGGACCCGTCTTTTACCAGGGTATTCCTGTAGGAGGGGATCAAAGCCATTATGAGAATTTTACGTCACTTCAACAACAGTTTGTACCCATGAGCAATATCCCAGCCGAGACAACAAGTAGTCAACCACAAGCTCAGCCAACCGCTTCCTCTGGTGCTAACAATGATCATGCACACCAGCGAAGCCAAGAAAAGCTGCTAAGTAAGCGTCAAGTGTGCTTGTGGTAATTATGGCTAGTGATCGAATTAGAGTGTTCCAATATTAGATATTATTTCTGACCTATATTGAACTCGGCTATCCAATATAACTATCCTTTATGACGAAAATCCTTCTTTTCAATACAAAGTGGAGTAATCATGACAGGTGTAAATCCGGGCCTCCCTTCTTTATTGTTCTGGTATTCCCTTAAGAGAATTTGCAAGTTTTTATTTCCCACAATAGTATTCACATTTGTATTGTTTAAATATTTTGACAGCTATGAGCTCGAATTTGATATTTTGGCTCCTGTTTTCGCCCATCTCTGCATGCAATGTTTGGAAAAAATGTAAAGCAATTTCCTACGAGGATATGATCTAAGAAATTACCACCAATAGTGTTTTGCAAGTATTTTTGGCAAGACTAGACCTGCTGTTTGTAAGATTTTTATCCATAAGTGGCTTTTTTGACCTCATCTCTGCATGCAATGCTAGGAGAAAACTTGAAACATTTGTTTGCAAGTAAGTTCAATATTAAATTTTGGAAAGTTTTTTCTCCCACTTTGAACAGAAAATCATTGTTTTATACATGGTTTTTATTAAAGGTATATGGTACATTAACTTTCTTGGTTAATTTTAGTGAGTAAATTGCATGTGTCAATATAAGTTTAGACATATTCCTGTTTGACTTCTTTGCCCATTGATTTGTTGTTTTCAAGATAAATCTTTAATTTGAAGAGGTCATGTGCATGTTTTACCACAAATGGAGGAACAGATGTGCTGAAATTTTCAATAAATTTGTTTACAACTATAAATTCCGGTTTTTTTAAAAAACGTTTCTTGGATCGGATTGTGTAGGTATAGAATTTGTATTGTAAACATTCTATATGTTTTAAGTTTGTTCTGATGTCTGAGCACAGTCGTCGGACAAATTATTTGTTCATTGTATGTTGTTTGAAAAATCCTGGCATGCATGGTTGACTCAATTTTCATTTAAAAGTTAAAAGCATTTCGTTCAGCCAGAGTGATAAATTGTGAAATTCATGTTAGTGGAGAGTTGTTGACCTTACTTGTCCAAGGGCAAACAACAGCTAAAAGGAATTTGGCATTTTCTGAAAGCAGAAATGTGTAATTTGATATGATCAGATTAGATCAGGTTTTTTAATTTCCAATGAAGGATCCAGTCTGTGATTGGCCCTTGTTTAAGTAATGAACATGCTGGATTTACTTAATATTTTTCCTATGTATATATGTTACTAGCCTCATGCAGAGCCATGGAATATTATTGGTCCGTCTGACATGTGGAGCAACCAAAACGTCTGAATGATGCATGCAATGTGGTGAAACTGAGCTTGTGATTTTCATGTTTTGAATTCCACAGATGCTTCCAAGCCTTACGCAAGCCCTGTGCATCACACCTCTGTTGTGTCTCCAGCATCAAGCTTGGAGGAAAAGAGATTGACAAATTCCCCAGCTGTTAAAAGTGAAAGTGGCAGTCCAGCTCCAGTTACTGTGGCAGAGGATGGCGATGGCAAAAGAGGGGTGCAGGCAAAATTGAAGGGAAAGCCCAAGCCAGCGTCTGGAACTAGCAAACCAGAAATTAAGTGTGAACAATGTGGAAAAACATTTGGTTCATCCAGTGCTCTTGCAAAACATAAACTTACACATAGTGATGAAAGAAAATATGTTTGTGGTACTTGTGGGAAAGGATTCAAGCGCCAGGATCATTTGTAAGTGAATATGGTGATCACTGCAATCTATCTTTTATGCTGAAACTAAAATTGTAAATTCCTGATTAAACAGCCCTAGCATAAAAAAAAATAGTAGTTACAAAATTGGTTTTCTTATATATCTTAAGAAGCAATTTTTAGAGTTCCTTTGGAAAGGTTCACTAGTCAAGAGGCTTTTCTGTTCATAGATTTTTCGAGCTTGTGATCCGAATAAAGAAACATAGGAAGCTTTTAAACCCTTGACCTTCAAAACTAGGATACTCAGTGATTAAATTTTGAGCAAAAGCTTTTTCAGACAATTTCCAAAGACATAAGTGAGGCACCTGGGGGCACAAAATGCTGCTAATAAAGCACAACCTTGGATGTTGTTTTGCAACCTGCAAAGTTAAATGTTTGACTTATCATTGTGTAGTATGTGAAGTAGAAGGAGTCTTAGTGGAGGGTATTATGCTCTCTTTTAAGACAAGACGCTGAAGGCCACTAAGAGCAGATTGACAAATTAGGGTGAAATAATGTGCAGATTATGAAGATGTACTAATTTACTCTTTTCATGAAACAAAACATGTGGAAATAACAGGCTGAATCAAGCAAACAAGCTTATTAAAATACCAGACATTTTGCTGTATACAAACACAACATGCCTTAAAAGGATCCAAAAAATGATTGTACAGTAATGAGGTGTGTGGTTCCTTCTAGAACATCATTTTCACTAACAGCCTTAAGTCGTGCTGGAATTTAGATATGCTTGTGTTGCTGCGGAAACCAGGCATTATGAAAGTTACGCAAATTAGTAAATTATTAACCCCTTTTCGCCAACTTAATAATAAAAAATATATATATTGACCAATTTATGGAACTCTTTATAATAATTGTATTATTGTACAAAGAATGAGTAAACTGAGTTCAATTTAACTTTTATTATTGTTTCCAGGAATGGCCATATGGTGACCCACCGTGACAAAAAGCCATATGAATGCAACTTTAGTGACTGTGATAAGAGTTATTGTGACATGCGTTCCTTGCGTCGACATCTTGAGAATCATCACACTGCTAATGGAATGAGCGACTCCAGGACCCATGGAGCAGTAAGTCCATGCAGTGATAAACCAACAGTTGCAAATGTTGAGCGAGCAGACTCACCTAGAAATTTGACAAAATTGGTCAAGGGTAGATCACTTAAAGACAGAACTGACCACCTTCATGCCAGTGGTTACGACAGCGGCCGTAGCTCGGGAAGATCCACACCTGGAAGCACACATGATCCTGGTGTCGCTCGTGAGAGGCCAACTAATTTACCCTTAGAAGGACCTGCCTTGAATCCACTGAGAGAGCGCAATAGTGATAGCTTCAGTTCAACTGCATCTGAAGAGGTTGTTGGCAATTCTGGGGAACAAAGTGTACCAGAAAAGTCAACTGACGCACCAAAGCCCGTCTTAGCTGGTGACTTGCTCAAACAGGCTGCGGATAGGTTTAAGACACAACAGGTAGGACGAAACCCAGGTGATATGTGGCCAGAACGATTTCAGCAGCAGCCTTATATGGTGTACCACCCTTACGGCACTTCGGAGCAACAGTGGTATCCCACAATGTATGCCCAGAATCCACGCTTTGTGTATCAATATCATTCTGTATTCCCATCAGTTTATCAGGTGCCTGTCACTGGCCTTGTCAGCGAGCCTCGTCAGCGGATGATGAGTGATTCAGACACCCCTGAAGTGACAAAAACAGTCGGGGGTTCATCACAGTTAAAGCCATCGCCCTCTCAAGAGAATAATCGTCCAACTGATGCCATGCAGTTAGCTTATCTCAGACAACATCAAGTTGGAAGGGCCACAGGGACACCAACTGACCCTACTGCTGTTGCTGTGGCAACTGCTAAAGAAATGGGTCATTTTAGATATGCAGGAGAGAGTTATTATGGAGCCCACCCTCAAGGCACACAGTGGCAACAGGTTAGTTTTGTTGTTATAGTTAATAACTTCAGGCCAAAGGACTTTAAAAAAACTTAAGACAGAATCCATCAGAAAATTGAGTAATTTCAATTTTCAGTGGACGAAAAACCTTGCACTAGAATAATTTTAACAATATCGCATTCATTTTTTACATTTTTCAGGGGCTGTAGATATAATAAGTTATCTGTAATAGCACCAAAGACTATTTCTCATGGGAGCCCGAGAAAATGCTTATTGTGCATATTAAGTGCAAATCCCAAGTCTGCATTGGCATGTACATAAAAAAATAATCTATTGTCCTCATTAAAAAAAGACCATAGTTCCCTGGACACATGTCACAAACTCACAATTTTTTTATTAAAAACTGTTAAGCATAATTTAAATTTTAGGGAACAAAGTCACCTGTTTCCTTGGCAACATCTTGTTATTTCATCTACAGACTCAAAAGTTAGAGCAGCATTTTCATTTTAAAAAATCATTAATTCTTTGATTTGCTGAAAGGGTACCTAGGTGGATACAGGGGTCAGCGGGGTAAATCTATTTGCGTCATGTTTAGTTCTAATTTTAGAGTGATCTCAGTTTTATTATTTGGAGACAGAATATTGCTTTGTTTTCGGCTATAAAATTAATATTCAAATTTTAGAGGAAAACTCGTGGGGCTAGTGGTGGAATATCATCAAGACCACCAAACATACATGTGATCTTTACAAATAAGCAAATTGGTAGAATTTTGGTAATCTGGACTTATGCCAATGTTGGTGCATTGTGGTATGTGGTTTATAAAGTTGAAAGGTTTTCATAGAATAGATTACTCTTATGCAGAATGTGGCTCATTTATTGTACATTTTAAACTAATACTTTTTGAAAGAAATGTATTCAAAATTTACCTTTTGCTTTCTTTTAGAACTGAACCTGCTTTTAATTCCACAAAGTGTTTTTTTCTAAGGTTGTCAGATTTTTATTCATTATGGGTCATAGTATCAATGCAATCTGAGATAATCATGTTTGCTTTTTGTGAAGCAGAGTTTGTGCAGACCTGTCCTTTCCTCACTTGGCTGCCTTCACGTACAGATCAAGATGAATATTTAATGAGTAGTACTTCAGGTTTAAATTGAATGAATTTCAGCGAATAGTAACCTTAAATACTGCATCAATATCTAAAGTTGGTGGCCTTTGCGTCACTTCTCAGGCCATCTAAGCTAGTGGCAAACTTTTGAATATTTTTGAAGAGGTGGACCAATATCCAATTGTTATTCTGCAAACAGAAGGGTTTGAATTTGAAAGCCAAATATTATAAAGCTTAACATGATAAATATTCATGAGAAATTCAATTGTTTCTAGGCAGCCAGCTGTTTCGTTGGTTATTCTTATCACCTGTGACTAACACTGTCTTCCTGTCTCTGATTGGTTCAGTGTTGTTTGACTTGACACATGATTGACTTGTGGTTGTCTTCTGTGGTCCATTCAAAGCTAGTAAATTTGCATTAGTTTTTGCCAGAACCAAAATTAAATTTCCTTTTCCTTGTTGTGGTCATGTGATCAACTTTCTCGGTCCTGTTGTTTTTGCTTGAAGTGTGGCACGTCATTCATGAGCTGTTGTAGTGTTTCAACCCCATCATTGTAGACAGATTCTGCAAGGACTTGTGTCCTCTTAAACCAAATGGAATTCAATCATAAACTGCTATTTCAACTCTGCCCAAGTGGAATTCTACCAAGCTTAGTGCTTTTTGTGGAGCAAAATGGTTAAGGCATGTATTTTATTCTTCTCTCAAGCAAGTTTATATACCTCTGACGCTAGCTAATGCTCAACTAAGATATAACAAGCTGATTCAATCCAGGGTGACTCGCTGTATTGGCTCAGGGCTTTAGTCTTTGACTGTAAGGGCCTCTGTTGATAATCTTTTTGTAAAGAAAAGGTTCAAGACATCTGATAATTTCATATCTTTTTTTATCATCTCTAAATTTTGCTCCAGAGTAGGTGATCCTTTAATTTTGATTACATTCATTGTATCTTTGATATTTTTAGTATTTCCTTTATGGTCTTGATCAAGTTTACCTGTCCCTGTGTGTGCTCTCTGTTTTAGTAAAGCATAATAAATTTTTACTGCTGTTTAGCATCTCCAAGGAAAAATTTTCATTGTCAGGAAAGAGGAGAATTTATTTTAATTTATTGCATGTTGCATTACCATCACACAATCTATAGTAAGTGAAAACAGCATATAAAAGGTAAAATTTTGTAAGGTTTGAGCTTAAAGAAAAATTAATGGTTTCAAAAATAATATTTTAAGTTTCTTAACACCTTTTTTGCTCAAATTTGTATATTTGGTGGAAATAAGATTTTTTTTATTTTTGTGCTAACAGTTCCTTGAAAATGGGTAATGTTGGTTGAAATGTCTACTTGATCTAGTGAAGGTTATCTTAAAGCATTGTTTTTAGTGGCTTCAATGCAACAACAGCAACATAACTTTTTCTACAGATTAAACCAGAATTACACAAAATAATTTTTATCTGGGCCCAGTACCATTGCATAATATACTGTAGTTTTATTTTCGTTGTGGCTCATATTTTGTTTTCTTTTGTTTCAAACTCATTCTTGTACATTACCATCCCCTAAAACAAAATAAAAATTAAATGTGCACCTCAGCATAATTCATTATGTTCACCATCACCACCAACATATGCTTTTGGAAAAAAGTCCTGGCAAGCTCTATGAATACTTTGACGTCGTCAGTAACACAGTTGGCTCATATCACTGAATATAAATAAGGACTGCTTATATCAAGATCTCAGTGAATACTTACCTAATGCTCTTAAGCACACAAGGTCAATACCCAACATGCAACCAGCACAACGCACCATAATAATACAACAATGAAATTATCATGAAAAAGACTGATGCAGAATATATAGGATCATAATCACAATGGCTCTATCATACTGATAGATTATCCTGTTAAAATATTCGATTTATTGATCATTGTGTAACTAAAGCTTTGTTTTTTGTTCATTTTGTTATTGCTTTTTTTTTTTCAATGAAATTGTGACATTTCTTAGTTTTGAAAGTGATTGATGGTGGTAGTTTGAATAGCCCTTGCCTATCACTAGTATTAAATGTCTCACTGATGTAAATATGTTTGTGCAGTTGTACAAACCCAGGGTCAAATTTTAGCCTGAGAAATTAATATTTTTTCATTAGGCACATAGTTTGGTAAGTGTCTTGTATAGATAGCCTCTACATCAATAATTATTGTCAGTGTAACTTATTTTATTTTAAATTCCCTAGGTTCGCTATGATGAAACAACAAATGCTTACAATTCAGCAACATCAATGGGTAACAGCAAATCGTCAAGTTATGGTCATGCCACAGTACCAGATAGTAATGGGCTGGCAAACAGCAATGCTGAGTCAAATCATTTGGACACAGTATCACGTGGAACACAGTTTCGTCCTGGAAAACTGGATACTAACAGTGAACCACCTGAAAAAAGACAACGATTGTCGGAAGTAAGTGCTGGCGAAAGAGAAGGCATTAATGGAGCACTACATGGTCAGATTAAACTTGAAGACAATAATAATTCACAGGAAAAAGCGAGAGAAGGGCTTTTCAGAAATCCAGCAGAGATAGTCACCCCACGACGTAAGCAGAGGCCACGACCTGAACCCTTGACGATCCCACCATCAGCCAGCACTACCTACTATTCAAATCGACCAAACTCACCAATGGGCCGCAGCAGACCATGCTCGCCACCTTACACACCTCCACCCATGTTGAGCCCACGCAGTATATATTCTATCGGAAATATAACCCCACGATTGGGCCCATCCATTCAAGTGCCCACAACTCCTAGCAGGCTTCAGCTACTCAGCAGTCACAGCCACAAAAGTAAGACATCATTTTACGTACATTTGTTAAATACAAGTGAACTTTGTAGGAGTAATCAGCCTAAATGCCAAGGTTTAACGGTCACTTAATGGGAGGTTAACGATTACAAAAGTGAAACTATGCACAGGGTTCCTCTTTTGAGAACAGCTGTATTAAAAATGCATCTGTCTATTCAAAGAAAAGTCATTGGAACATTTTTTTGGTTGCAATGCAAACAATGCTGGGCTGTCACTAAAAATTATTTTGTAAACTCTAAGTGGCATAGTTCATGGAGCAAACATGGAGAGCTCCAACAAAAACAATATTATTTGAAAATAATGACTGGTTGCTTTTACTCTTGTAGGTTTTACTGTAGCTGAATTTTAGAAGTAAAAGCTTTGGTACATTAGCTTTTGATCTTTTTATTACATATGAAATGCACCGTTTATATCTGATGGCAGAAATCTCAAGTTGGATAACCAAGGATTAGTCCCTCAAATAAGAAGACTTTTTGCATCCTTTTTCTTAGGTTCTACTTTATGTGATTTTTTTTTCTCTCTTTCAAGTGGAATGCTGTAATGCCAATGACTTTCCTTATTTTTCAGGCTTTGATTTAACAGGAGATGAAGAGGCATTACCTTTTCCTGAACCGTAAGTGTGGCTAATCTATTGTTAGATAAAAAGAAAGGAACAGAATTCTTCCAAATAAATTACAAGCTCAGAAGATATCCGATCGTATAATCAAATTATCACAAAATATACTTTGTGGTATTGCCTTTTAGTAAAAAACTCTAAACCAATTCTTGCAAGGAAGAAAATGCCCACATGCAATGACTCAAGAACAGTGTTTTGATTGTTTCATATTTTGGACAACTTATGCATTTTTACAGTTTGACGTTGATTTGATTTTGTAAAGATTGAAGTCAACAAAATAATATTATTGAGAGAGCCTGGTACTCTAAAAACATTCAGATTAATGAACTGCCATTTACATTCTCAACAGAAAAATCAATGTTGGTCGTGAGTTTCAAGCAGAAGTACCACCTTTTGCTGGTAAGTTGTCAACGTTAGTTTTAGAAAATTATCACAGTTTTAGTCTGTCAGTGAGGTGCAAAAATAGCCAATGTCCCTCCCACTCTATCAAATAAGTCCCTGCAAACATCCCAGGCTCTAATATACTCTCTCTCCTCAAACTGTCCTTAGTTAATGATTAGTGTTGCTCAATTTGCCAGTGGAAGTTTACACAATGATTGTGTTACTATCAAAAGTAATTAAAGTTCTTTTCACGATGTTTGATGTCAATCTTGGTTTTTCTTACCAAGGCCATAAAGATGATGCAAAATATGATGAACACAAAGCAACTTTAGTTTGGAAACCAGTTGATGAAAAGAAGAGATCCAGAAGAGAAGAAAGTGAGTGTGCTGGGTTAAGTCTTTCGTTTCTTTTTATTGTGTAAGTAATAATGGAGCAGGATTAAATTTTTTGAGTTTTGATTAATGCCACTGGGTAAGTGCCTGTTGCAATAACATTAAAAAAAAGAAATAAGAAGATGTAAAAATTATCATGTTGCAAGCATCAGATTTAGAAAGAAAGATTGGGTCCAAAATGGGTTAAAATATTAAATTAGATGGTTTATAAAGTTGTCCTCAAGAAAGCAAAGTACAATTTGCCATTGGACAAAGGAACCATGCATGCACATCTTCAGTTCATGAAGCCTGTAATTACTGTGGTGTTACATGCATAAAATGTAGTATATGACTACCTTATCCTGGTCATTTGTCTAAAATACAACCTCTAAAATTTCAGTTGAATCTTTCCTGGAGATGGCCTGCTCTGTTGCTGTATTAGGGGGTGGATCAAACAAAGAATATGCCCTACACATCTTGCATAGAGCAAACGGAAATGTGAAGGTAATTTAAAATTTTGATGTGATGCTTTATCAAGTTTAAGGGTGATCCAGATAAATATCAGTGATCTGAGATCACTTGGATCCTAGCACATCAAAGGAACTGATGAATCAACCCTGGGAAAGGATTAATCGGTTTATGTGATTTTCCATGATCTGATTGATGTTGGATCCTGATCAGGACCTGGATCATCCCACAGGTTTTAGTAAGATTTTAAGAAGGTGGCAAAGGCTTTGAAGTAGGTGGAAGAGGAAAAAAACTTGCGGCAAAAGCGTGACTTGCGAGCGCGAGTTTCTGGAAATAAAATTAAAATCTGGGCCTCTTAGGATGCATTTCCAGTATTCTGGCCTATGGGGCAAAAATTTAAGTGTGTGAACAGAACAGAGACATCATTAATTTTGACTTCTTTATTCAGTTACAGTACATGAATACTCTATTTAAACTGGGGTAATTTGCAAAGAAAAGTAGGCGGCAAGTTTACGTGAAATAACTGGTGAATTTCGCCGGCCACCGGCTCTTGTTGAAAACCCTGTCATCCCAAAGGAACACACTCTTAGTTTTCATGTCCTTGAGATCGATGTTGATGTCTGAATGTGAACTCTTTGTAATAACTGTGTTTATGTCTTGACAGGAGGCCGTTAAATTGCTGCTATGTCAGAAATATATTGCACAACAAGGTGACCCCATGTATGATTATCACTATGAAGGTAAAGTTCATTTCCACTGGCCTTTGAGGTAAATTATGTTATTTTTGTAGCAATATACAGTCTCTGACATATTGTTTGTGTGTTTTCAGGATCAGTTCGATGGGCATCAAAGGAAAGACAGATTTTTAGGCAGAACTTCAGAACAAAGGGCAAAGAATTCAATGAAATTAAAAAGGATGTAAGTGTGATGTTCTTGTAACGACATTCCAAACAGGCTAGTTTATTCTTGTTGATGCAGTCAAATCCGTTTTTAAAAAACAACCTGGCATTTACTTAGTTTGGAAGTTATGTATCCTTTAATAGCTGCAGTAGCTGTGGAATATCAAAAAAACTAACATAAGATTGAGTTTTGGACTATTCACTTCCTTAATCTAGTGTTAGCACCTTTTCTGTGAGTAATTATTCTTTTATCTAGGAAAATTGTTCAGCATTTCTGTCGCTTTTCTCTCTAAATTGAGACACTTTAATTTTATTTTTAGTTGGTTAAAGTAGGGGTACAAATATTTTGGTAAATTCATGGCTTTGCAAGATGGTACTCTGGGATTTATGCTGTTCCCAAAGACTCTGTTGAAAAATCCCAATTGACTTTGTATGTGTAAAGTATTGTAACCTTCCACTTATTGTTAGTATTTTTCATTGCAGGTTGGAGACAAGAAAACAATATTTGATTGTATTGAGTTTTATTACCAATGGAAAGCTGCGTACCCTGAAGCTATCCGCGGAAGAACTCGCTACATTGACTCAGACTCTGATGAAGTAAGTTAACCTCAGATAAACAAGAATATACCCTCATACTGAAGTTGTGATACAGACTAGGTTCTTGCGGTCTATAAATCCAACTTAACTTAGTAACAAGGTTCCATAAGTTACAGTACAGACCAAGAAAAAACGGTTTATAGCTCTGGGTTTCAGTTAAGAGGGAAAGATTTCAGTTTAAGTGGAATGGCTTTTGACGATTTATACATGCCTAATCCTAAACACAGGAAGATTTGATTGGTGTCTAAAATTGTTGAGTCATCAAAAGCATTCGTATTGTAGTAGGTTTTCTTTCACAAATTGTGATCAAAATTAACAAACATTGGAATTAAGTAGTACAGTGAAATACATGCAGCTAATTTGACCAATCAGAATGGATGTAGTAGATGAAAGAGAACTTGATAGTAATGTTAAGTATTATCTGCTAACACTTGGGCCTTGTGTATTTTTATCAGGACTATGAAGATACCTCAAGTGAAACTAACAGTAACCCCTCCTTTTTTGAGTGCGATTTCCCTCAGTGCAATGCTGTAAGTTGAGATGTTTCTTTAAGATCATTTGTTGTAAAGCGAGTAAACCTGATGCTTGTGCAAGTGGTATTGCTGATCCCTGCAGTGAAAAGTGTGCATGTCTCATATGAACTTAGTAAGTTGCCAGCTGTTAGCCTGAGCCACAGACAAATCTATACCCCTGGTTCAGTCCATCTTCGAAACAGCACTGAAATCCATGTTCTGGGACTCAGCTGTGTATCAAGATTTGAGTACGTGCCATGATTGACCTGTTTAAAAAGCCATTGTCCATATGCCAATCAGGTTGAAGGGAAATTCGAAACACACTTCCTGAGTAAAATTAATTTAAGTCCATTGGGGGCCTACAACAAGTATCTTAGCACCCTTTGCAGACATGACTAATCAGGATTAGATGACTTTTGCAACACAGGCTAGCTGAGTGTCTGCCTACTGTGAGTTTTCCTGTATATATGTATGTAGTTAATTTTTTATCTCAGGTAATTTTTGTTTTTCTTTTGTTTTTGGGTATGGTAATGTATGCTAATGAAGTTGAAACAAAGGAAAAATAAAAATTACCTGAGATAAAAAATTAACTACAACATATATGTGAAATATAGAACACCCAATCTGTTGTTTAACAGATTTGAAGCCTGTCTTGCAGTGACTCTTTTCCTTTCATTTTGCTTTGCTTTTTTCTCCATTCTCATTCATAGTTGACTTTCTTGTTTCTTTACAGAAATTTGTATCCAGACAAGCTCTCAATGGTCACATACGTGTTCATGGAGGAAGGTACCTAACAGAATTTCCATACTTTGTATTGTTGTTACTAACTTCATTTAGGAAAAGTGCACATACATAAAAATTTTCCCTTGAATAGTTAGCACATACAAAACTTAAAAGTGGAAGTCTGTGGGTAGGAGTAACGATTCATATTCCTTGCAGTTCGATTCGATTTTGATTTATTTCGATTCGAATAATGTGAATGTTTCTTAATTCTTATAACATAATGTGTAATGTAAACAACATGCAACCCTAAACCCTCAATTTGAGAATAGTAGCAGGGACAGGAGGATTCACACTCGCTTGGTTCGTCGCCATGTTTGAGAACCTGACAAAGTGTGTGTTGCACATAGTTTGCCTTATTTGGAAATTCTCATGGGGTGGTTGAAGGACAGCATTTTTACCAGGCAACACAAAATGGCGCACGAAATGCTATCGTCTTTGCTCGTCAATCATAAACGCACAATTTAAAGCGTTCTGGATTCCAATTTTACGTATGATAACTCACTAAGGGCACCCTGGAAAAGGTGTGCAAAAATTGAACCAACATCGAAACTTGGAAGCAAAGAATAATCGTGAATCGAACTGAACGGTGATATACTATCTGTGGGCATAACCTAAAACATGGCCAGAGCACTTCCACAACTCTGATACTCACGTAGAACAATCTTAGCAAAAGCCCTTAGAGGATGTTATTGTTAAGCTGTTGGTTACTTTTTGTTTGTGAACTTTTTCCCTAACTTTTTTCTTTTCAGTGAGAATTGATTATGTTTTTTACTTTATTTCTCAGCTTCATGAAACCGTCAGAACCAAGACGTAAGAATCGCAATACAACGGTCGCAGCATCAAATGGATCAAGTGCGGGACATGTTGTGAGGAAGAGAAAGTCTCCTTCACCAGCTCCTGCAACCAGCATGTCTGAGTTAAATAACCAAGATGGTCCACTGCCTGAGTTCGCTTGTAAAGTGTGTGGCAGGTGAGTTTACACTTGTTGTGCCTCAGAATCTAAATCTGTTAAAGGGGCTGTGTCACGCAGTCAATTTCATTTTGTTTAATTTTGCCAATTACACGCCCTCAATCACTATGGAACTTAAAGGAAGCAAAGAATTACAGGTAAATGACAAAATCGGAGATCCGAGACAAACAAATATGTCTCCTGAGCATTATTTCTGAAGTTGCAAGCAGCAGGGATCAACTTTGAAAAACTGTTAGGCTGAACAGTTTTCAAAATCCCTAATTTCAATCCGTTTCAATCTTTTTCAGTTTTGCCCATCCATGGTATCTGTTGTTTCTGTTATGTTATTTTAACCTTCCTTTAAAGTTTTTTTAAAGCGGTTATTTTTATGTTTCTCTTAATTTAACAGGCATTTTGTAATTTCCTAATTTGGCTGAATTTCGTGGCACAGCTCCTTTAAGAAGAGGTTTCACTTTAGTGTGACTCAGCTCTTCCTCATTGAAACAAAAGCCAGACNACTTTTTGTTTGTGAACTTTTTCCCTAACTTTTTTCTTTTCAGTGAGAATTGATTATGTTTTTTACTTTATTTCTCAGCTTCATGAAACCGTCAGAACCAAGACGTAAGAATCGCAATACAACGGTCGCAGCATCAAATGGATCAAGTGCGGGACATGTTGTGAGGAAGAGAAAGTCTCCTTCACCAGCTCCTGCAACCAGCATGTCTGAGTTAAATAACCAAGATGGTCCACTGCCTGAGTTCGCTTGTAAAGTGTGTGGCAGGTGAGTTTACACTTGTTGTGCCTCAGAATCTAAATCTGTTAAAGGGGCTGTGTCACGCAGTCAATTTCATTTTGTTTAATTTTGCCAATTACACGCCCTCAATCACTATGGAACTTAAAGGAAGCAAAGAATTACAGGTAAATGACAAAATCGGAGATCCGAGACAAACAAATATGTCTCCTGAGCATTATTTCTGAAGTTGCAAGCAGCAGGGATCAACTTTGAAAAACTGTTAGGCTGAACAGTTTTCAAAATCCCTAATTTCAATGCGTTTCAATCTTTTTCAGTTTTGCCCATCCGTGGTATCTGTTGTTTCTGTTATGTTATTTTAACCTTCCTTTAAAGTTTTTTTAAAGCGGTTATTTTTATGTTTCTCTTAATTTAACAGGCATTTTGTAATTTCCTAATTTGGCTGAATTTCGTGGCACAGCTCCTTTAAGAAGAGGTTTCACTTTAGTGTGACTCAGCTCTTCCTCATTGAAACAAAAGCCAGACCTGTCTGACTTCGTTTTTTTACTTGGTTTGGGTAGAGTGAGGAATATCTTTAGGGTTGGGGGGACAGAGGAACATGGATATTGGTATCTGATTCAGATATCTGTTGCTTTGATTATTGAGTTTCACACTGTACTTACTTCATTTGCAGAATATTCCACAAAATCAAAAGCCGGTCAGCGCACATGAAAACCCATGTGAAAAGACCTGATGATGATGATAGCAAGATGGCTGCAAAGTTGACTTCCTCCAAAAGTCATTGACTCTAGTGTCGCTTCTTTTTTTACGAAATATGGTTACAATGAACAGTTCGACTGTATAGTAGTATTTATGTCTATGTAAGTTATATCTAAGTTATTCTTAATTTATCTGGTTTAGATTATTTCTCACTTGGTGGGAATGGAATTTTTCACTCAAGCCTGAGTAGATCTCTGTGCTTTAAATGTGATGAGGGTAGAGAAGAGGGTGGTTTGCAAGTTTTTTCTGACAATTACCCCTAGGTGTGCCCTGCACCAGTTTCTAGTATACAGACTGCCCTATTGTATAGTTCCAAAAACTATCCGTACCCCTTCCACAGTGGGCAACAGAAATTCTGAGGGGAGGAGTGACGGTTTCAAAGGGAGGTAATTTTCAAGAGGGTGGGGGTGGCCTCGGAAGGTCTTTTTTTCTGTGTAAGATTGCTTAGTTAGTAAATGACAACAACTGCTGACATGGAAAAAGGGTAAGGGGGGTATGACAGGCACCCCATGGAGTTGAAATTCGGGACGGGGGGTGGAGGGTCTAGAACCGGGGGAGGTATGGATATTTCCTGGAACTACACATTGTGTCTTGCGTCTTGATGCAGTGAAATGATACTATTTTGCAGGACAAACTTAATATTGTGGCTGCAATAACCTACAAAGATTACTTTTTGTATTTATTATGTATAGTAAATTAAGTTATCTGGTGCATGTGGGAATGGTTGTTTTGGTTCCAAATGTGCCAGACAAAGATTGATATTTTTATGAAGGAAACCAGTGTTATTTTAGGTTAGTTTTTGACATTTATTCACAGTTGACTCCCCCAGCTTCCAGCTTCTTTGCCTTGTCCTGAATTGTAGGCAGCTCTTTGCTTGGTGCAAATTTCGGTCAAACTGTAGGCTGAAATGTTTAGAGTAATCATTGCCACTGCTTAACCTTTAAATGAGGTAAAGGTTTTCTTGTTTCCAGGCTTTTTACTAGAACTAATATTTTACAAGAAGCATTTCAAAGCCAGCATTCATGTTATTCTGTTATAAACATCTTCTTTGAAGCTTTTAAATAGAGTTGAAACTGGAAAGAAGTATTTCTGGGAATGAGTGGGTATTTTCAACCAAAGCACAACTGCAAGCTCCTTCAGGGCATTTAAATCTGATTTCTCCTATCAGTTTTACCAACTGTAAACATGGCGTGTTGACAAGGGCAATTACTTTAAAAGATATCCCTAATTCACCATGTAACAGAGCTGAGCATAAGGTTTCAAGGAGAAGCTAGGAAATTAAAAAAAAAACAGTTCATTTTATTTTTTGCTTTGGATATTCAATTGTAAACAAGTAGAAATGATTGTTGCAGTGCAACAGAAGAAAAGTTTTGTAAATAGTTCAAATGAAATCGTTTTTGAATAATTTAAACGTTTGCTCGGGACCACTTCCTTTCATTCTGCATTTGCCACTATAGAAACAAGGAGGGAACTGGAGCCGAATTGCGCCTCGCATTTGTTTCTGGGAAAGCGCCGGTCAGCTATTGGCTAATTATTTCCCCTAGGAACAGTGCCAAAAATCTTTGCGAAAGTAAACTCGCCCCAGTTTCCGTCTGGTTTTTAAAGTGGCGAATGGTTTGGACGGCAAGTTCAGTTTTAGTATGGAGTAATTACGCAAGGGAGCTATTTTTCAAATTCTTCCTGCGATAAGAAGTGGTTCCAAAAAGCCACTTCGTGAACAGTTGTTGCGGGGAAAAAGATGTTTCCTTATTGTAAGAATGATGGTGTTAGTTTATGTAGATATTTTAAGAAGTGTTGAGTGAGGACAAAGTTTGTTTTGGTTCAACAAGACTGCTGTACTGTTTGAAATGCCGACAGGATTATGAATAGTTAATTTATGAAGAAACAAGTCGCCGAAATATTTTATACAGAAAATTTAATTAATTTGATCCCAGATGACCTGCCCAAACTGGCGTCCTGTTTGTTCCAAGTTGTTTTTTTTTCTTTGGGTCTCGTTTGGATGTGGATGAAAAAGGGCTTGGAAGCGGATTAAACCTTACAAGTTTACCATAGAACTCGCAGTAGCTGAAACTTGACGTTGTTAGTTTACCTTGTATATAGAAATGTTGTGTATAGAATCGGCGATGTTGGAGAGAGGATAGACACAAAATAGCTTGTACAGCAAATTGAAAGCAATTTAAGTTATGAAGCATCTTTCGTGGTGTACATTTACAATTCTCTCTGGATTCTAATTGAATTTAGAGACTATTCATTGTAAAAAATAATGAGCTTCATGGCTCTATTTTATAGGAACTCTGTTCTTGCTTAATTAAGATATTCAATAAAGCGTGTATTTATTGGTCATGTCTCTTGGCTGTTGTATTTTATTCAGATCTCATAAAAAGAATCCTGCCAATAAACACCCTGGAGCTGAACTTCCTTTTGGCTTCTAAATTGAGAAGGGATCAACTGATTTAGGTTTCTGGGAAACTGCCTACCTACCCCTCCCCTGAGCTAACGTTAACACTTACTTCTCACTTTAAGCAAAATTTTGGCTTAGGGAAGGGGTAGGTGGGCAGTTCCTCAGAAACCTAAATTGGTCCTTGAGAAGGAAGGGATTCTCTTCCGGAACCGCGTCTTGAAGTAGCCGAAGCCCGAACTTCTATACCCTCTTACGCACGTCCGTACCTTCAAAATAACAACGTTAATAAAAAATAAAACGTAACATCTTCAATCGACTTTTATTCCTATATGTTGTCATGTTAGTAAAGCAAAGGATTTTTCCAGTAAACATCTTTAAGGGACTTTTCCTTCCAGTATTTATCACGCGAGTAGAGTTTTACAAGCATGGCGACCACTTTAAGTTTTTCATCTTCAGTGGTTGGCCACAGATTTATGTCAAGAACTGATCTTTTTATTAGCAAGACCAGTCTGGTTTCCGAAACTTAAATGGCTTCCTTCGTCAGTTGCATTTGTCATAGTCTACTTGCAGACTGAGCCTTTGGCGTTCCCGTCACGTACACTCGTACCCAGGAGCTTCTCGAGAATTTCTGCGGTAGACGGCAGCCCAAGGGTCCCTTGTGCCTTATCGTTTTTGAAGCTTTACACATGTTCTCGCGCCGCGATTAGCCTAGAAGATCCCAAGAAGCGCCTAGGTACGAGTGAGCTAGGGGTTCCAAGACATTTTTTCGTGCGCCACGAAAAGGTATCTAGAAACGACCCGGGACGGCGCAAGTCCTGCTCCAAAGTGAGGCACAAAAAATGTCCGATATGTGACGCTCCACTTTTGAGATCGGCGCGACGCAACTTCGCTTCGCCACAGAGATCGCGCCGCCACAACCGTTCTTGTGTGTGAACAGAGACCCTATCCGGTATAATTTTGATGGCCGCGCAAAAGCTATCCAGAATAATCGTCTGACCATGAATATTGATAAAACTAAAATACTTGCAAAACAATTTAAAAAGCATAACTTATGATATTCATGTTTATTATATCGCTCCATTTTTAATAAATTCAGGTGGGCCGACAAGTAATCCGCTTATAATAAAGAACCCATCACTGATCGTAAGTATGCTAACGGTGTGACTTCCTGGACGAACGCGACGTGCAACTGTGAAAAGATGATTACCAAATTCGACTATGTTATCTACTTTTATCGCCTTTTCTTTATCGTTATCCAACCAAATAAGGGCCTGACCGCCAATGCGCTGAGCTGCTCGCAAAACAATGATCACAGATCTACTAGTAACATGACCCGATACAGATTCTGCATTCCATGGTTCAACGAAAATATGGAATTTCATGAAGTTGTTTTTGTATTTGCTTCCCCATCCTCGCTGAAGATCTTTTCTCAACATGCCGTTGCACTGAGGCGGTGGTTTTTGAACGAACGAATCGTAGAAACGAAAGCCTTTGTTTTCTTCAATGCGCATGTCCAGGTTTGGATGTTGGGCATGCTTATTGCAAGCGTTAGGTGTCAGCGTTATCCAACATTGTGGATTGATCAACGTCTCCCTATCACTTACTTTGTAAATAGGAGCGGGTAGCAAAGAGGAACGCACTTCATGATCAAAATCACCCTTATATCCAAGCTTGTTTTCCGTTAAGTTAATAAAAACATCTGAAAAGTAATTGATCATTAAGAGTCCAACCTGCGCATGCGTCAATGCTCCCGGGTGATACAGGTCTGAGGCAATCACTCCACTAACCTCTGTGATTTTCTCGCGAACTTTATAACCTCCGCCATTTGTCCTTTTACACAACAAATCTTTTACGCAGAAAGCTACAATTCTATACCTATGTGCAACGTCGAGCTGTCCATAATCTTCAAGATTCGTACAATCTGGGTTTAGACATTCCTCGGTTTTCGGGTCTTTTCCTAAGCCGGACACAAAATTGACAAAGACAGTATTTGAGCGTGGCATGTGCGTAAGGATCTGCCTGATTAGTGTCTCCAGTGGGGCAGACTTGTAGGCTGCTTGAAAATTTACTGATTGTTCCACTACAAACAAATCAACATCCACTCCCACGGGTAAAAATGTTTCATAGCAAAATGCAAATAAATAACTTCCCAAACTGCTTATTGCTACGTTGTGTATTATCGCATGAGACCCTGTCCACTTCCCAATTGTAGCGTTCCACCATGTAGCAAACAAGTTATAAAAAATTCCTTTTATATTTTTTTCATCTTGCTCAAGATTCCCTCCTGCAGCATTTGAACCTCCAACGATGGCTATGTTGATGTCTTTTCCTTGTAAAGCTTTGTGATAAAGCCGCTCAAGTTTGATGGATTGATTGAACAACTCCACGTTTCGTGTGGCATTTCTTAAGAATTCCTTGTACAGAAGACGTTGCTGTGATTTCAATGGCAATATGTCACTTAATTTCAAAAGCTTAATAGGATTTTGGTGTAATCCTTGCTTGAAGCACTCTCTCAGTTGTGTGTATCTTTTCTCTGCTGGAAATCTCCTATTAAGATGACTCTTCTCTCGGGCAAAATTTCCATCGTGGACTTCCCACGTTGCTTCTCCCAAGTCGCTCGCACTCTCTCGACCAAATGATATCTTCAATGTCGCTAAGAAAATGGCAAGAAATATTATGCCCACAGTCATTTTTCCATTACCGAGACTTATGCTCGAAACTTGAGCTTTTTAAATGAATTTCGGGTAGAAACGCCGTTCTGTAAAAGAACACTGAACCAAGAAGCTAGAAGACCTACACACCCGCTACACGAAGGAGGTTAGTCCGGAGCTGTACTATAAATCACCTAGAGCCTGGAGTTTATTTCTGTCCTGGCTTGGGAATACTCCTTCTCTGACTTCACTGGCATGAAAGGTACCGACAGAACTTATGACTCTTGAAACTCAAAGAGTCATGTTATTTAATTACTCTCAAACTCAGAAGACCGTGAACACCTGAAAACTTTCATGAATGTTCTTTGTGTATTGGCCAATCACAATAAAGTTCAGGATACGCGAGCAAAGTTCAAAATCGCAAACTAATTATTGCCGTTGCTGTTTGCAGTTTACTTATCTCGCGACTCGTTGGCTTATTTCTCGCAACATTCCATAAATATCTCTGGTGTTGACGGTTTTGTGAGTTTCACAGTAACTATTAAGACTGATAAAGGACTGATAAACGTTATTTAATCTGACCTGAATATCCACGGTGTTTTTCATGACATCATCAAAGGTAAGCAAGGCAGAAGAGCACACTACAAGTGTGAATTCAGCGCAGCAAAACCAATAAGAAACGCTGAAGTGTAGCTTAGCAATTCGTTAAGTAATAATTAAAGACGCGTTATCAGGCTTTATTGGTCAACATAAAGCTAAGTTATTTAGCTTTGAATAGAGGCTTGCAGATTTGGGAGCAGTAAAAAGTTGTGCCAAGCTTACAATAATGGTTAGTTCTAGCCTTTTCTAATAACGTTTGTCTTAGTATTTCAGTTGTTTTCATGTTGTTACGAGGCGACACTAAAACAGGGTCGACAGGTTGAGGCAGGTGGCGGGAATGCTTCCGAAACTTGAACCCAGGAATTAATTAGGACTAGTTAATGGTTCTGCTACCCTGATACCCTGGGTACCAGGTGTGCGACTGGGAGCTTCGTTTCGTCGGCCGCATGCCGAAGACACGAGCGGCGAAACTGCGAGAAATACCTCTGACGAGCACCTTGATTTACCGCGCTAGATGGACCTTGATCTTGTCTCTAATCTGTGGCCAGTTGGAAAATCTGGACTGGACTGGACTGGACTTTTTTGGGGGCGGGGGCGGGGTGGGGTTGTATTATTTTTTCTAGTCTGTAAGAAAATCGCGTTTTCGCCAAGCCTCGATTCAGCGCCCACACTCAAGGTCCAAAAATTTGGTAAGCGCCCAGGGCGGCTAATTGAATAAATACCATGGTATGTGGACCAAGTACTATTGTATTTGGTAGTCGAACATAATCGACTTATAAAACAACAACAAACTCCGTACTCTGAATTTGTAACATAGGCTTTGTTTTTCACTGTCTTAGAAAACTGTTTATGAGGGGGACAACTAATGCTGATCAAGTGCTTAAGCCNCCTCGATTCAGCGCCCACACTCAAGGTCCAAAAATTTGGTAAGCGCCCAGGGCGGCTAATTGAATAAATACCATGGTATGTGGACCAAGTACTATTGTATTTGGTAGTCGAACATAATCGACTTATAAAACAACAACAAACTCCGTACTCTGAATTTGTAACATAGGCTTTGTTTTTCACTGTCTTAGAAAACTGTTTATGAGGGGGACAACTAATGCTGATCAAGTGCTTAAGCCCGTTCAGCCGGGAAGAGAGTACTTAGAATACTGCATCTTCTTAGCTTTATGTTCCCTCTTTTCATTGTCAGTTTGAAATTGTTACTGAAAATTCAATGAAAGGATAACGTCTATTCATAGCCCAGGTCCCAGTGGTTGAAAAGTTGCTTAATGCCATCCACTGCATGGATAAATTTCTATAATAGATGGCATCAACAGACCTTTTTAGCTTGTATGTTTTGTTTTCCCAGAAAGTGTTGCGCTTTCCACCCAAATTAGGCAAATTCCCGGCGGCTCCGGAAAATGTCGCGTGGTTTGAATTGGGAAATACAATAAAACCTGCAAGCTAAAAAGGTCTATTGGGTTTCCTAATACAGTCGCACCTCTCTACATCGGCCCCTTTTTTTCGTTCCGACAGAAAAAAATCCATACATTGACTCTTGTTTAAAAATTCTCTATAACGGCCACGTTATTCTGTTCCCAATAAGGTGGCCAGCTATTAAAGTTGTTCTTGTTGTGGTTTAAACCCGTGGCTGTCTGCTCAATCGAGCTTATAATATAGGTTTTATTCATTTAATTTTTTTCTTGAATAAATTCCTGGCAGTTTTGCGGAAATATTCCCACCTGCCCCAACCTTTTCTTTTTAACGCCTCGTAAACATCCAAGGCTATAAGGAAAACATTAGAAAGGCGCCAGAGCTAACCATATTTTAAAGAATGGTTAAACGTTTTTTTTAATATTGCTCCCACATCCGCAAGCTTCTATTCTAAGATAATTAACTATTGTTTCTGTTGACCAATAAGCTTGCTAACGCGTCCTGAATTACTGGTTAACAATAATGAGCTAGTACACTTCTGCGTTTCTTATTGGTTTTGCTGCGATGAATTCGCACTTGCGCTTTGCTGTTCTGCCTTGTTTACCTTTGATGTAATTATTCAGGGGCACCCAACGAGAATATAGTTCAAAACCACTTAAACGTAGCATTGTTAAACGTATTTTAGTATTAAAACGGTAGATATAGACATATTTTTATCCCCTAAAAATTAATTTTTCATCTGTTCGGATTTCCTGGCTGAAAGTCTAGCGATTCGAAAATTATAGGGATCAAAACTTACCTATTCGAAAATTGCAGCCAGAAAAAAGGCTACCGAAAATTGTAGGTGACCTTTTTAGGGCAAAAATCCGTCAAAAATGGGCAATTATACCATTTTTTAGATGTTCGAAAATCCTAGGAGAGGCAGACAAGCAAGAAATTTGGGGAAAAATGTTCCGAAAATTCTAGATCTCAAATCGTCTTCTGAACAGATATTTTCCAAAAATTGTCGTTGGGTGCCCCTGATTATTTTGAAAAGCATCAAGTGAATTAATAATCTTGGTCGTGTTCTAGCCCGCGTGTACCTTTAAGCCCCATTTACACGGCCGAAAATTTTTGGCACGGCTCGGATGAAAAAAGTACGCGTACCAAAAAAATTGGCTCGGCACGGATAGATTTAGTCGTGTAAACGACTTTGCCCCATGCGTGCCGGACCAAAATTTCACCCGTGCTCGGACCATGTCGAGAGGTAGTCCGAGCACGGATAAAACTGGTACGCGATCGTGAAAATCTAGCCCAGCTCGGATAAAGTGTGCAGTGTAAACGATTAGCCGTGCCGAGCTAACTTTTCTCTGATGGGCCTTCGTGCTTTTGGTCAGCACCAATGTGGGAGAGCATGTATAGATGAGCTTTTTCGTTAGTTCAATATAAACCAAAAGTTCAATAAACACGACAATAGTTCAATGACCTCACGTTAGTTCATTGATGAGCGTGGACAACGTGCAGCTGCGGGGGAAATAGCCACAAATACGTTAGAATTTTTTAATATAAATGTGCAGCATTAACTAAGTGGTAAATACTTTTTCGTTAGTTCTGTGTGTTCAATAACCACACAATAGTTCAATAACCGCACCAGTATTCAATGACCACCCATTTTGTTACTTGTGCGTAGACTACATGCAGCTGTGGGAATTGGTAATTCTAAGAACTTTTCGTCCGCCATGTTTTTACAGAGGAAGTAGCATGCGCACTAGGCAAGAATCGAATACGCTGGCCGAGATGTTGAGCCTTTTACCCGTACCAAATCATAAATTCACATCGTTTAGCACGGTAGTAGAGAGAACGTGTAAATGAGTAATCAGTATTTTTTTTTGGTACGCGTACCACTTTCATCCAAGCCGCGCCAAAAATTTTCTGCCGTGTAAATGGGGCTTTTTTATACCACTGATTTTTGTTCAATTCAAAATCTTCTTAGCCGACTAAAAGGACACTAATAGAAAAATGACTATGTGCCCATTTCTTGCCGTTTTATTAGCAACAGTGCTAAATATCACTTGGTAGAGAGGATGCAGTCGACTTCGGAAAAGCGACACTGGAAGTCGCAGATGCTAATTTCAAAGAAAACACGAGTCATCGTATAAGGAGAATATTTCCTGGTAAAAGATGCGCTCACGCGGAAAAAGTACTTCCAGAATTTCCTACACGAAAATCCTTCTTAAGCTTTTGAAACCCATTAAAATCTCAGCAATATCTGCAGGCCGAATTTTTAAGAAATGGCACACGAAATCAATCCCTCAAACCTGAGCCGCTTCATCACAAAGCTTTACAAGGAAAAGACAGCAATATAGCCCAACCTCGTCCCCAGGGCTTTTCCCTTAAAAAAGGGTGGAAAAGCCCTGGGGACGAGGTTGCAATATAGCCATCATTGGAGGTTCAAATGCTGCAGGAGGGAATCTTGAGCAAGATGAAAAAAATATAAAAGGAATTTTTTATAACTTGTTTGCTACATGGTGGAACGCTACAATTGGAAAGTGGACAGGGTCTCATGCGATTATACACAACGTAGCAATAAGCAGTTTGGGAAGTTATTTATTTGCATTTTGCTATGAAACATTTTTACCTGTGGGAGTGGATGTTGATTTGTTTGTAGTGGAACAATCAGTAAATCATGAACCAGCCTATAAGCCTGCCCCACTGGAGAAACTAATAAGGCAGATCCTTGATCACATCCCAGGCTCAAATATTGGGTCTTTGTCAATATTTTGTGTCCGGCTTAGGAAAAGACCGGCACATCAGTAAAGAACTGAAAAACCCAGATTATTGTACGGATCTTGAAGATTATCAGGGACAGCTTGACGTTGCACATAGGCATACAATCGTACTGCTTTCTGTGTAAAAGATCTGTTATGTGAAAGGACAACTGACGAAGGTTATGAAGTTGACGGGGAAATCGCAGAGGTCAGTCGAGTGATTGCTCATTCTCGTCCCCAGAGCCACTCGGCTTAATTTGTTACCGACCGACCCCTCGTTTCCTGACCACGTGACCAAGAAACGACGGGCTCTGGGGACGAGAATGGTGATTGCTTTAAACCTGTATCACGCGGGAGCATTGAGACATGCACAGGTTGGACTCTTGATGATCAATTACTTTAGAGATGTTTTTGTCTTCAACTTTAGGGAAAACAAGCTTGCGATAAGAAGGATTTTGATCACAAAGTACGGTCCTCTCTGCTACCCGCTCCTATTTACAAAGTAAGTGATACGGAGACATAGATCAATCCACAATGTTGGATAGCGCTGACACCTAACGCTTGCAATAAGCATGCGCAACATCCAAACCTAGACATGCGCATTGAAGAAAACAGAGGCTTTCTTTCCTACGATTCGTTCGTTGAAACACCACCGCCTCAGTGCAACGGCATGTTGAGAAAAAATCTTTAGCGAGGATGGTGAAGTAAAGACAGTAACATGGAATTCAGAATCTGTATCGGGTCATTTTACTAGTAGATCTGTGATCATTATTTTGCGAGCAGCTCAGCGCATTGGTGGTCAGGCCCTTATTTGGTTGGATAACGATAAAGAAAAGGCGATAAAAGTAGATAACATAGTCGAATTTGGTAATCATCTTTTCACATACTAATATAATAAAAATATTTAAATAAAAAAGCTGCTTTCCACGAATGCCGTGCCTTACAGTTCTTTGAGTAATCGTTTAAATTGCCCAAGGGGAGACTGTTCCAGAGAATGGCGCCACTATAGCTGAAGCTGTTTTTGTAATAGTTTGTGCGCGGTAATGGAACATTGAGTTTATTTTCAGAGTCCCT